ATGTACCTTTCTTTCATTTGTCAATTCTACTGCCTATTTTCTACTTCGAAAATGTCTAGTAGTCTTTATACGTAAGTGCCTTCATGTGATTTCCTTTGTTTTCTCCCGCAGTAGAAATTTGTTGGGTGTTTGTTTTGGGTACCAAATAGCTGAACAGTCCATCCCCACTGACTGCATCAAAGCAAAAAGAAGGCCCCACTTCCTACTATGGAAGCTGAAGGAGGCCAGGCATTACCAGGCTCAGCAAATTGGATGCTTGAATCCAGAACTTTGAATCTTGAAGAGATAAAGGAAAGATGCAGGGACATTTAGAGATCATTTACAGAAGAGTTTAAAATCCAGCTATTGTGGGCAGGGTGCCAGCAAAAATAGCAACCCAAACAGACCCTTCCTGTGGCTTGTCTAAGACTGTGTGTGCTCAGCTGCTTAATCTCCGTTGGTTCCTACTGGGTTTTAGAGCCTGATTATACAGACTTCCCATAGATTCCGTGAACAACCTGATAACTTTCCAATAAATTCTTTTCCTATTTTAGTTACCCAGACTGATTTCCTCTATTTGCAATCAAGAATCTTGGCATATAATGAAACCATTTAACCATTTTTTGTTTTTCTGTCATCAACAGAGGACCTTGAAGGACACAGTGTTATTCTAGGACCTTCTGCACATCATTTCACTTAAAGTTACAGCTTCATTTCACTTAAAGTCACAGTTTCCAAGTACCTATTGAGAGCATTAAGTGAGAATTTACTGTGCAGGCAGATTCAGGGTTCAGTACTATCTGTAGTTTCAGGTACCTACTGTGGGTCTTGGAACATATCCCCCGCTGACAAAGTAGGGCAGCAGTACAATATCCTTTGTAATACAGAACATTTTTACTTGTCTTCTCTATTCATTTTTAAATATAAAAATCTTTAAATATACATATCTAGATCAATAAAAACAAAATTAAACATTTTCTCTAACTATTAAAGTCCAAAACAAAACTTCACCCCTCATCTTAAGCAAGAATTCAGCATTCTTTTCTCCTACCTATCCAAATTTCCTAGTCACTATTAACTGAGTAAAAAGGGATATAAATTCTGTTTACTATTAGAGAGTACTCCTTGACTACATAGACCTTTTTTTGTTTGTTTTTTGAGACAGAGTCTTGTTCTGTCACCCAGGCTGGAATATAGTGGCGTAATCTCGGCTCAATGCAACCTCCACTTCCTGGGTTCAAGTGATTCTCCTGCCTCAGCCTCCCAAGTAGCTGGGACGACAGGCACGTACCACCATGCCTGGCTAACTTATATTTTTAGTAGAGATGGGGTTTTACCATGTTGACCAGGCTGGTCTCAAACTCCTGACCTCAAGTGATCCTCCCGCCTCGGACTCCCAAAGTTTATTACAGGCATGAGCCATCACGCCTGGCCAACATTTTTTTCAACAATGGTTTTTAGCTGATATTCTCAATCTTGCAAAAATATATTTTTCAGTTACTTACAAATATACATGTACATATTTAACGGTATGTGGCCCTCAAAGTTGTTTCAAACTACTTACAACTTTATTGTTCTCTGGTTGTAATTTTGACGTATGTCTTACAGTTTACCTCTGAGAATTTTGCTCAGAAAAAGAATATTAATGATTTTTTTATTATAAATTCATATCTGAGAATGTCTCTCTGTCACCTACACATATCAATGTCCCCTTGGCTGGGCAGAGAAGTCTTTGATCCCAACTCTTCTCCATTCAGCTTTATAGACTTTGTTCTATTGTCTTCTGGCATTAGTATTCAGCAAATCCTGGTGAGCCTGATTTTTGCTCCTTTCTGTGTAACTGAACTGGTTTTAAGTGTATAAAAAGAATACCAAATAATAGTGGTCTGGGTAAAACAAAACTTCCTCTCATATTAAAGAGTACCCCATCCAGGGCTAGAAAAGAGGTTCAAGGTGATCATGGAATTTCGGATGTGGCTTCTATCCTCAAGGTCACCTTGTGTCTAGGATGGCTTGATGGCACCAATCTATGTCCCAGATACAAAGTAAAGAAAGGCAAATGAGGGGTAAAAGAGTGAGCATACCAGTTTAATTGGTATCTTTGAAAAACTAATGACCTCCCCATTCAACAGCTTGCAAACTGAAGTCCCACTAATCGCCCTCTAGCTATATGGTAGGATGGAAAATGCAGCCTTTTAGCTGGGCCTATAGCCACCAGGAATGAAATAAAGATTGTCATTAAAAATGAAGGGAAGGATGGATATTGGGTGGGCAAATAATTATCTCTATCACTTCAGATCACATAATATTTCTTCCTGGTGCTTATAAAATTTGTTTTTGAAAATCATAAAAATTTCCAGATTATATCAAAGAGTAACTTTTTTTATTAAGTTTTTTATTAATTTTACCTTAAATTCTTTCAACTTGCAGACTTGTTTTTCTGTTTAAGTGGGTTTCTTTATTTATACTCTAATTATTGCTTCTGATCCCCTGAGTTCACTCCTACTGCCATAATAAAGTAACACAGACTGGATAGCTTAGACAACAGAAATTTACTTTCTCACAGTTCTGCAGGCTGGAAGTCTGTGATCAAGGTGCGGGCGTGGTTGGTTTCTTCTGAGACCTCTCTCCTTTGCTTGTAGGTAACCATCTTCTCCCTGTGTCTTCACATGGTCTTCCCTCCAAGTGTGTCAAATTTCCTTTTTATAAGGACATCAGTCCAACTGGATTAGGGCCCACACTAATGACCTCATTTCAACTTAAGTTACTTCCTAAAAGACCCTATTTCCAAATACAGTCATATTCTGAGGTACTGGGGGATTAGGATTTCAATATATGAATTTTAGGGGGAATATAATTCAGCCCCAAACACTATCATTTTAGTGTGATCCTCTGGAAACCCTAAAATCACTGGATTGGCCACTGTTCATCTTCCATATTTATCATCTTCCTTTTGGCATCTTGTCTTTTTCCTCTTCATCATGAGAAAAGTTTTCCCTTCACATCAGTTATTCAGATCTTCTCTCTAAAGTTTTAAAGACTTAAATTTCCCTACTTCATTTTGGTTTCCTTACATGTTTTTCATGTTTTAGTTAGCTCTGTTAGCATCTCTCCTTATTCTGTTCTTGTAACTCCTGGTTACTGTTTTCATATAAGCTATGCGCCTGCTGCATACAACCACAAAATCTCAATAATGTTCAACAATAAGCATATATTTTGGTGGTTGGTTGATGCAGGCTAGGCAGGTCTGCTGATCTTCAGTCAGTTTCATGTGTCTCTCGCCCTTCTCCTGGGACCAACAGCAAGACAATGGCAGAAGCATGAGAGGCCACACTCAACAGCATAAGCACGTTTGAAGCCCCTGCTTGTGTCATGTACCCTAATGATGGCAAAAGCCAAAGCCCCAAAACCAAAGGGTAGGAAATACTCCTCTCCTACTAAAGTAAAGGGGAAAGGAGTGATTATTCTGAATAGTCTACTACATCGTGTTTCTTGTATTTTTTGAGAAACTTTGAGCTTAAGTCTCTTAAATGTTTCTTGCTTGCTTTACATAAATTTTTTTTAAATAAATGTTCTTCCTCTGAGACCTCAAAATAATGCTCATTTTCCCTTATAATATAGAATATTTTCACAGGACTCATAGTGATTCTATTACTTAACCTTGTATGGGAAGAAATCTCTTCAGATCTGCTATTTATCACCAGGCATTGTAGAAAGAATTCCTTAGCACTTCCCCTACCCACCACTTCACTCTCTGCTGAGGTACTGACAGATACCGTACTCAGAGCTAGCCTTGAAGTTATGTCTCAGGTACATATCAAATCTGTGTGCCTGGCAGAAGTTTTTCTAGTGCCCATCTGCAGAAAAGAGGTAGAAACTTCTCTTTCTCTGTCAGGGTCTCTGATTAAACTGAAGCATCACACGCAAATTTGGCATTTTTTGTTCAAACAGGGTAAGAAAGACTTCATTCCCCGCGTGCACTGATTCCAGTACTCTTCTTGTCTATATCTGAATGAAAAAGCGTCAACATGTATATTTCAGTAGACAGTGCTAAAATGCCCTCTGAAAAGATCTATTCTAAAGAAATGTTGGAAGGACATGTACTATGCACAGCTGTCTAACATGTTAAAAACTCCAATGTTCTATCATCTTAAGATCTAGTCTTATTCCCTACCAGGCCTCTACTAACCTAATGAATTTCTTGAGACTACCCAGGCCATTAAATATAAGGCTATGCTACAGCTAACCAAGGAATAAAGGTGTTCTCTCTGAACCTTTCCTTAACTATTCCAGAAAAAGGACAACCTAAAGCTGAACATAACCCTAAGTAACAAAGAATCTTATTCAATCAATACATCTATATTTCTTTTTGTCATTTTTTTTTTAAGAGACAGGGTCTCTGTCTCTGTCACCCAGGCTAGAATACAGTGGAGAAATCAGAGCTCACTGCAGCTCAAACTCCTGGGCTCAAGCCATCCTCTCATCTCAGCCTCTGGAGTAGCTGGGATTACAGGTGCACACCACTATACCCAGCTAATTTTGGCCTTTTTTTTGTAGAGACAGGGTCTTGCTCTGTTGTCCAGGCTGGTCTTGAACTCCTGGGCACAAGCAATCCTTCCACCTCGGCCTTTCAAAGTGCTGGGATTACAAGCGTAAGCCACTGCACCCAGCCAATATATCCACATTTCTTAATTAGGCTGACTTCACAGTCCAATTTAAGAATTTTTCAACTTCCTTCTGAGATGTACCAATGTCTCTGATCCAGAATATGAGACCCACAGTAAATTATTCTTATATATCCTCACAGAAAAGGACCATAATGAATGTAGAATGAATGAATGAACAAACTTCAAATGTCAGCCTCTCAGAACAGGGAATATTTGCTATTATAAAACCATCCTGAAGTTTCAGAGACAGTACACTAAAGGAAAAATAAACTACAACAACATTCTGGAAAACAAAAAATATTCCTTGTAATCCTGCACTGCCACAAGACACTTATAGCAAAGAGCCTCTTTAACCTCATTTTCCCCTTTTCCTTGTTACGCTGCACAACTCGGCTAGTCGATTTGATGTACAGGTGCCGGTGTAGTTCATCTATGAGAACCAAATGGAGGTTCATCTTCTTGCTGTGAAGCTCTAGTCGAAGGTCACTCAGTCCTTCCACCTGGAGCAAGGGGCCCTCCAAAGACTCAACTGCTGACACCTGAAAAGAGAAAAAAAAAAGAAAGACAATTAAGTACAACTTAATAACCTGGCAATATTATAAATAAGAAAGACGTCTTAAAAAGATACTAACAAAAGGGAGCTTACGAGAACTTTATCAGCATATCCAAGACTTTGCAGAGTATAATGTGGCTAGGGGAGAGTTTTTCTCACCTTAGATAATGATAAAACAGTCTTGACAAAGATAAACATGAAAGCATACACAGCACCACAGCAAACTATTTATGCCCACACACGCCCATCAATGGACACATGTAAAGAGACCTCCCTATTTAAATGATACTATCATTCACATTCTCACAGGAATCCCATGTACTAATGGTTTAATCAACTTTTACTCAAAGTTAGCTTTTTTAAACTAAGGCTTTAAAAAAAGCACACTATATAAATGTTTTAAAAAGAACTTGTTCTCACAGCAATCATGACTCTTTATGCTTACCAAGAGTCGGGCTCTCTCTCACTCTTTTTCAAATACACATCACACAGAGGTAAATACATTTTTTTACATGAATGCTACAAGTGGACAATAGTAGTCATCACTTCTCCTTGTCCTGAGTCAGTTTAATAGAAGAAATGGGAAATGAACGGTGACTGGAAGACATAACATAAAGAGGAAGATACTCCTGGTGCAAAGTGGTTTGGGAGATTTTCAAGGCAAAAGGACTGGATAAATCAAACTGGTATAGGAATGCCTACAATAAATGGAGAACATGAAGGCTTCAGGGAACCTGGAACAACCAACTCACTTTGAAACGCAAAGTGACATCTGCAAAGGGGAAAAAAAAAAAAAAAAGACAGCATGCATGATATGATCCCATTTATTCATGTACACAAAATTATGTTTGTTTTTATGTATAAAGATCTTGTATCTTTTCAAAGAAAAAAACTTAAAGAGCACACTCTAGGTGCTATTCTTTGAGAGAAAATAGAAATGACAGGATGAGCTTAGAGGGAAAGAACACAAGTGAGCTCCCTCAGGGATGAAATGCTATGTGTGTTACTCCCTGCATAGGTTATACTAAATATCTGTAACAAGTACAGATAAAGGAAGTAACTAATGATACTTCAGGGTAAAGCCCTTAAACATAATTCTGGATGCAAACACGCTCCTAAAGAATGAACCATTTACACTAAAACAATAGGTAATTAAAGCCGTGAAACACACTGGTGATCAAAAATGTTGATCACACATCTACAGCAGTCTAAGGAGTCATTTAGGAGTTTGTGGACAGTGAAGAAAGAAATCTTTGTAGCTGCCCAATATAAACCAGCCTGAAATGGTAAAGAAAATGTGATGGCTTACCCACAACCACATCACTTGTTTTGTGATGTGCTATAATCAAATGTCAGTAGCAAATAAGTTTCCTTAAGTTAACCAAGAGAGAATCAAGGAATGTAAGAGTGACAAGCCCTGGGCCAGCTCTGCCCTCTGAAGCCTGCCAGTTCATTTTCACGCTGACTTGCAACTGCCCTGCTATGAGAGCCCCTGGGCCCAGAGCAAGCTGCCAGCAATTCCAAATGGAAAGGCAGCCTCACAAAATGACCAGAGTGTCCCCAAGGAGGAAAAAACAACAACAAATTCATTTACACTTATGCCCTAAAATGGATTTTAACTCGGGTCTCTAGCAGAGAAAAGAGGATGCATTAACCTCCAGTGACACTGAGATCCAGAAAATGAAAAATAATTTGGTAAACCACTGGCCCATCATGTAGCCTTATCCCTTAAGGTAATTAAATCCAGCTGAGATATTTAAGCTTAAAAACCACCCACTGCACATCCACACTTGATTTGTTTGTAGGAATTTACATGAAGATTTTTAACCCAAACAGTACATGTTCCAAATACAGAATTTTATGACAAGTGTCAACTTTCAAAGCCACCTAATTAAATTAAAAGTAAAAATTCAGGTAAAACACTTAGCGCAGTGCCTGGTACCTCCTCAATGCTTACTGAAATTATTTTTAAGAGTACCTATTTATTCCATGAGTAAAGAAACCTCAGAGGGTATTCCCAATATGTTTTAGTGAAGCAATTTCAGTAAGTGTTCCTTCCTTCTTTGAGCCATTGTAACCATTTAAATGACAAACTTTGAATATATTTCCTTGACCCAAAATACAAGTAAAATTAACATACATGTTATCAAAGGTAGTCTCAGAACTTCAAAAATTTGAAAACCTTACCACAAAAGAGAAAAGAGAATAGTCTCTTATTTCTATAAGAAAACACTGTTTTATTTTCTGGCCTTCACTTATTAATAGTCTATTTATAAAGCTATAATTATGGAAGCTGGACAAGGCCACTGTCTTCCCTTACTCTAACCATACTAAGTGGTACTCAAACCAATTTAAAGAAAATAGTTGTCAATGCAACATTTGCTCTCTAGAATATATACTTAGAAACCTAACATTTACCTTTTTTTGTTTTTATGACTTGGAGTCGCCCTGTCGCCGATGCTGGAGTGCAATGGCGCAATCTCGGCTCACTGCAACCTCCGCCTCCTGGGTTCAAGCAATTCTCCTGCCTCAGCCTCCCAAGTAGCTGGGATTACAGAAGCCTGACACCATGCCCAACTAATTTTTTGTATCTTTAGTAGAGACAGAGTTTCACCATGTTGAACAGGCTGGTCTGAAACTCCTGACCTCATGATCCACCCACCTCAGCCTCCCAAAGTGCTAGGATTACAGGCGTGAGCCACTGCGTCCAGCCCTAACATTTATCTTATCTGGTTTTAAGGAGTTTGAAACATAAAGTTCACCCACAAAGGAACAGCTGGCGAGGTAGCAGTCAACCCAACAGACTACCACCTCTGACCGTCAATTCTGTTGTACTGGGGAGGTGCAGTTTCCAGGTATTTACTAAGACTTGAGATTTACTAGAAATAATAATCATCTGTATTTACGAATGTGCATAATTAATTATAAAAAGATTGTTTTAATATATAGGAAGTGGTCATTGTATAAATTACTGCACTTTTCCAAATGTAATGACTGCAGAGTACCTTTTAAATAACACACTGATGAAAGATTAACAGAAATTTAAGAGACGCAGTTGGATTAATGTAGACAGCAATAAAATAATTTCACAGGGCAGTTACTATAAGAAATTATTTAAAAAGGGGGGACGGTTCCAAGATGGCTGAATAGGAACAGCCCCAGGTTACAACTCCCAGCATGAGTGACGCAGAAGACGGGGGATTTCTGCATTTCCAACTGAGGTACCGGGTACATCTCACTAGGGCGTGTCGGACAATGGATGCAGGACAGTGGGTGCAGCCTACGGAGCGAGAGCTAAAGCAGGGCAAGGCATCACCTCACCTAGGAAGTGCAAGGGATAAGGGAATTCCATTTCCTAGCCAGGGGAAACCATGACACACAGCACCTGGAAAATCGGGTCACCTCCACCCTAATACCACATTTTTCCAAGGGTCTTAGCAAACGGCACACCAGGAGTTTATATCCGGGGCCTGGCTCGGAGGGTCTCAAGCCCATGGGGCCTCCCTCATTGCTAGCACAGCAGTCTGAGATCTAACTGCAAGGCGGCAGCTAGGCTGGGGGAGGGGTGCCCGCCATTGCAGAGGCTTGAGTAGGTAAACAAAGCAGCCAGGAAGCTCAAACTGGGTGGAGTCCACCTCAGCTCAAGGAGGCCTGCCTGCCTCTGTAGACTCCACCTCTGGGGACAAAGCATAGCCGAACAAAAGGCAGCAGAAACCTCTGCAGATTTTAGTGTCCCTGACAGCTTTTAAGACAGTAGTGGTTCTCCCAGTACAGAGTTTGAGATATGAGAACCAACAGACTGCCTCCTCAAATGGGTCCCTGACCCCCAAGTAGCCAAACCAGGAGGCACCTCCCAGTAGGGGCAGACTGACACCTCACATGGCCGGGTACCCCTCTGAGACAAAACTTCCAGAGGAACGATCAGGCAGCAACATTTGCTGTTCAGCAGTATTCGCTCTTCTGCAGCCTCTGCTGCTGATACCCAGGTAAACAGGGTCTGGAGTGGACCTCCAGCAAACTCCAACAGACCTGCAGCTGAAGGTCCTGACTGTTAGAAGGAAAACTAACAAACAGAAAGGACATTTCACACCAAAACCCCATCCATACGTCACCATCACCAAAGACCAAAGGTAGATAAAACCACAAAGATGGGGGAAAAAAGAGAGCAGAAAAGCTGAAAATTCTAAAATCCAGAGTGCCTCTCCCCCTCCAAAGGAAAGCAGCTCCTCGCCAGCAAGGGAACAAAGCAGGATGGAGCATGACTTTGATGAGTTGAGAGAAGAAGTCTTCAGACTATCAAACTTCTCCAAGCTAAAGGAAGAAGTTCAAACCCATCGCAAAGAAGCTAAAAACCTTGAAAAAAGATTAGACAAATGGCTAACTAGAATAACCAGTGTAGAGAACTCCTTAAATGACCTGACAGAGCTGAAAACCATGGCACAAGAACTATGTGACAAATGCACAAGCTTCCGTAACCAATTCGATCAACTGGAAGAAAGGGTATCAGTGATTGAAGATCTAATGAATGAAATGAAGCAAGAAGAGAAGTTTAGAGAAAAAAGAGTAAAAAGAAACAAACAAAGACTCCAAGAAATATGGGACTATGTGAAAAGACCAAATCTAAATCTGATTGGTGTACCTAAAAGTGAAGAGGAGAATGGAACTAAGTTGGAAAACACTCTGCAGGATATTATCCAGGAGAACTTCCCCAACCTAGCAAGGCAGGCCAACATTCAAATTCAGGAAATACAGAGAGCACCACAAAGATATTCCTCAAGAAGAAAAACTCCAAGACACATAATTGTCAGATTCACCAAAGTTGACATGAAGGAAAAAATGTTAAGGGCAGCCAGAGAGAAAGGTTGGGTAACCCACAAAGGGAAGCCCATCAGACTAACAGCACATCTCTGGGAAGAAGCTCTACAAGCCAGAAGAGACTGGGGGCCAATATTCAACATTCTTAAAGAAAATAATTTACAAACCAGA